CTATCTATCTATCTATCTATCTATCTATCTATCTATCTATCTATCTACCTATGAATGAGAGACAGAGAGACAGAGAGACAGAGAGATAGAGTGTATTCTTTTTTTTCCAGCACTCTAGACATTCTTTTGTTTATTCTCTAGTCAAAAAGACATAAGCAGTATTTTTAGAATGGAAGTTATACCAGAGAACAGACTCAGTGAGACTTGTATCCACATCAAGAACAAGCAGCACTGCTAAAGGACTTGGGGTCTTGGGCAATTTGATTTCTCTATGTGCCTTACTCTCTATGTCTTTAACATGGGAGAGTGTGTATTCTATGTGGAGTTCATAGGACAACTTGCAGGAGTCTATTTTTTCCTACCATGTGGATTCTGTGGATTGTACTCAGGTCATTAGGTTTGGTGGCAAGAACCCTTACCTTCTGAATTATCTTGCCAGTGCAAGATATTTGGGTTTGGAAAAAGAAGAATCACAAGGCTAGGGATACAACTCAATGATCCAGTACTTACCTAGCGTACAGAAGGCCTTGGGTTTTATTCCTTGCATTGAAAATACAAACAAACAATGATAATCAAAAGCAAGCATCACGGAGGACCAATAGGGAAGTCCACACACCAGCATATAAATGAGAGATGGGACAAAATCTGCTGGCTTCCTCTTTTATACTATCTCTTCTGGTTGATCCATCTCTATCAGCCTTTTCCTTCCATTGGCAAAGAATGGTGAGAACCAAGAGAGAGGAGGGAGTTGGCTTGTAATGGTTTGAAACTCCAGGGAGCTTAGAGCCATAGCTTTGCCTGAGCTCTTGTTAGGTTAAATAATCAGTGTGCTCTGTGACTACGCTGTCCATAGGAAGTGGCCTGAGCAGGAGCAGACTCGATGTTCCTCAGGCCCGGGCCACATCCCATGCCAGCTCATTCCTCAGGCACGACTGCTCAATGGGAAATCTAGGAACAGACCCAGGAAGGCTAAGCATTTGGAAAAACAATTCTCTCCTACATGTGCTAAGGTTTTCAGGACAGATATGGCTGAAGACCCTAGAAGAGGCTCTAAGTTTCCAGATGAGGTGGCCCTTCCGTGTCTGCTGGAAATCTTGAGAGGGATTTTTCTGCAGAGGGAGGGGCTGGAAAATGAAGGGTGTTGGCCAATCCAAGTTGAAGTACCTGGCAGACATGCTTCAGCAAGCAGAGTGTAAGGAATGCCGGCAGGATTTTCTCTAGGGTCTCGGTCAGAGATATCGATGGCCAGAAACTCTTCACACCTCCCCACAGGGTCAGCCACACACTCAACAGTGATGATCTGCTGTCCTCCCGAAGGGACGGAGCCAAATCCCGGGTATACGGTGAACATGCCATGGGTGAAGCGGGCCTGCAAGGACAAAGGTGGGGAGGGAAGGGAAGGGTAGAAGGAAGCAAAGTGGCTAACAGAGTGAGAGACTTTCCAAAGCAGCTGAGAGATAATAAAGTGGGGAAACGGTGGTGCCTCTCTCTATTGGTGGCATCTCTCTCCTCTTTGCCTGGAGGCAGAGGCCTAGGATGCTCATGGTGGATGGGTTTTAAGGATGTCCTTATCTGAGTATTCCTTATGACCAGACATGATGGAACCAAGGGCTCAAGGACACAGATAATGTCTATACTTATCCAGATGGGGGAATCTCAAAGCAGCTGGGGTGGGGTGGGGTACAGAATGGAATAGTGGTTGAGATGGGGAGGTTGAGTGAGACATTGTAGGTTTGAATGATAATGACCACCCCTAGGCTCATATATTTGAGTGGATGTGTGGTCCTTAGTTGGTAGAACTGTTTGGGGAAAGGATTAGGAGGTGCAACCTTGTTGGAAGAGCTGTGTTACTGGGGGGTGGGGAAGGATAGACCTTATGGTTTCAAAAGCCCACATCAAGTCTGGTCTCACACTCTGCCTCCGACCTGTGGGTCAGGAAATAAGCTCTCAACTACTCCTCTAGTGCCATGCCTGCCTGTCTGCCACCACACTTCCTGCTATGATGGTCACGAACTAACCTTTTGGAACTGTAAGCAAACCCCCCTCAGCCACATTAAATGTTTTATTCTATAAGCTGACTTGGTCACGGTGTCTCTTCTCACCAATAGAATAGCAACAGATGATCTGGGGTTTGAATTCAATCCCCAAAGTGTACTGTTTGGCCTTGGAAAACTGATTTCTCCGAGTCTTGGTTTGTGTACCTATAAATGTTCCTTGCACGATGGATTGTTGGAGGGTTAAATGAGAGGATTGTCATGAGGCATGTACTGTAGCATGCAGTCAGACTGACAGGATCCCCCAGGGCACATACTGTATATAGCATGTAGTGCAGAATTAGTGCTAAAATGAAAAGAATGTCATTATAAGAGACATTCTCGCATGTCCCTGCAGATACTTGCTCTTCTTCCCTCCACTCATGTAGTTCTCAAGACAACTGTACCATATATGTAGACACAATGTTCTGTGAGAGAGAAAGATTGTCTTGGATAGCCCCATTTCTGTCCTTACATTTCTATATGTTCTGTAGTGCTTTAGCTCAGAGACTCAAGTTTCTTCTGGTGTCTAAAACCCAGAGAAGGATGAATTTGGGGATTGCAGTGGGAGGTGGGAATGCACATGTGAGATTTTGCTGCCTTGGGCAGCTTCTGGGGTCTTAGAGGATGGGACCCAGATGCATTGGCCATTGCTTCTTTGCTGCGTGAGTGATGTTTTGCATGCCATGGGCTGAGAGTGTTGAGTCTCACTGGACCCATACTTTGGCAGCTAGATCTCCTGCTAGATCTAGGAACCTCAGCAGGAGCTGGTGAAGGGGCTAGACTACTCCTGCCAGGTGTGTTGACTGTGTGATGTTGGGAAGATGCTTATAATCCTTCCCTGGGACTGACAATCAGTACACAGCACACCCCTCAGAGGGAATAACCTCAGAGCACCACCACACAGGTAGCATATTCTCCTGGCTCCTAGGCTCATTTGTATTCTTGATCAGCTTCACAAAGTCACACGATGGCATGTGACCTGACTTCTGATGCCTCTGTTGTACATTCTTGGAATCTAGCACAACATTCTTGGAATGGAGCTGGGTACAACTTTCAGTGAAATTCTGCTGTTCTTGTCCTTGGAGATGCAGTATTATTACTTAACCCCACTCTCACCCCCTCCAAATCTCTTTTGATGTCTTCCATAGAACTACTGCATCAGGGCATGATTTAGCCTGCATGAAAGCTTCTAGGGACTTAACCGGGTTGCTACCTACTGAAAATCTGCCATGTGCTGGGAGTGATACCTGAGCCCTGGAGATTCCCAGATAAGTCATCTGGACAGAGAAGGCTTTTTCTCTAGGCATCTGTTTCCTCTAAACAAATGAGTATTGATTTAAAAAAATATGTGAATAATTAAGGCAGTAGTGACTCAGTGAAGGTTTTAAAGCAGGAGAGGACACCCAAATGAAAGCTTTTCATACCTCAGCTGAAAAAGTAAGGATTTTGATATAATTCAACATCTCAGCCACAGAAAAGTCAGGTTCTGGGGCTGGAGAGATGGCTTGGTGGTTAGGGTCATGGACTACTCTAGTGAAGGACCTGAGTTTGGCTCTCAGAATCCACGTCAGGTAGCTCACAACTGCCTTATGGTGGTCTGAATGAAAAGGGCCATGATAGGCTCATAAGGAGTGGCATTATTGGAGATGTGGCCTTTTTGGAGAACATGTGCCACTGGAGGTGGGCTTTGAGGTCTCAGAAGCTCAAGGCATGCCTAGTGGATGTCTTCCTGCTGCCCGCAGATCCGTATGTAGAACTCTCGGCTCCTTCTCTAGCACTGATGTCTTCCTGGATGCTGCTATGCTTCCTACCGTGATGATAATGGACCACACCTCTGAAACTATAGGCCAGCCAATTAAATGTTTTCCTTTATAAGAGTTGCTGTGGTTGGTCATCATGTCTCTTCACAGAGGTTAAACCCTAACTAAGATATGCCTGTAACTGTAATCCCATGGCACTTGATGCTGTCTCTGGTTTCATCAGTACCTGAACTCATGTGCACAGATCCAGAATATATACAAAATTAAAAAAAAAGAACATATAGAAGAGAAGTGTTTGCTTTGTTTCTGTGACTTACCTGGTTTGCTATGTTCACATCTTTCTGGACTGTGTCAGAGAACTTGGTCGGTTTAGTAGCTCCGGGCTTGTAGAAGCTATCACTTTCTCGGGTTCTTCCGTGCCTCAGGTGGCTGGCTCTGATCGGAGAAGCAAGCATATAGCCTCAGGTTTTGATGAGGACATGAGCCACTACCTGCCTGCTTGAGGTCCTTTCATTTAGGATGTGGGGGACAGGAGAGGGCTTTCCTTTGTCTAGGAAGGGATCAGGGTGGCATTGTAACCTTGAACTCATGGAATAATTATTAAGAAAGTGACATGGGTAATCATACTTGGGGAGTACAAATCATAAGGATTTAAAAAATTACTTCATGCAAAGTCCATGTGTTAAGGCTTGGTCCCCAGGATGGCACCACTGGGAGGTTCTTAGTTCACTGATATTCCCTTCAAGGGGATCATAAGACCCCAGCCTACTCCTTTCCTTTTTGCTTCCTCGTCTGAGAGGAATAGTTTTTCTCTGCTGTATGCACTGATCATAAAGTAATACCTTGCTTCAGAGCCAACTGAAGTCATGGTCTGGACTTCCAGAAGTAGGAGCCCAAACAACCTACTTTTCCTTTTTCCTTGTGAATTTATTATCTGATTTCTTTTGTCAAAGTGATAGAAAGCTGACTAACAACAGCAATGATTACAACAAAACACACACACAAACACACACGCACACTTTTACCTAGGACTAGAGAGATGGCTCAGTGGTTAAGAGCACTGGCTGCTCTTCCAGAGGACCCTGGGTTCAATTCCTAGCACCCACATGGCAGCTCACAAATTGTCTGTAACTCCAGTTCCAGGGTCTCTGAGATATTTACACAGGCAAAACACCAATGCACATTAAATAAATAAATCTTAAAATATAAAGTCTTCTAGCTGCCTTTATTTTATGCATTAAGTGATTTTTTTTTGTCTTCATTACTTATACTTGTGGCCATGGTATGTATAAGGGCTAGTGTAAACAGTAGCTAGATATAGGTTGTGGAAATTTACTTCACTTGAAACCAATGTACCCAATTGTTAGCTTTCCAGAGACTATTGTACCTAAAGTGTGCGTCTGTATTTGAGGCACATCAAAAGTATTTGGAAACCATATGCATTCATTCACTTGTCTGATGACCAGGACACATCTGAGGTTCAACACCCTTGGGTGCTTTGCATGAATCAGTGCAATCTAATGTGAAAAATCATTCAGTAAATAAATAAATAATTAAAAAAAAAACTTCATGGGCTGGAGAGATGACTCAGTGGTTAAGAGCAGTGACTGCTCCGCCAGAGGTCCTGAGTTCAATTCCCAGCAACCACATGGTGGCTCACAACCATCTGTAATGGGATCTGATGCACTCTTCTAGTGTGTGTCTGAAGATAGCTGCAGTGTGCTCATATAAATAAAAAAATAAATCTTAAAAAATAAAAAAATAAAAACCTTTATGTGTACTAATGCTTTGCTTACATGTATGTATGTGTGCAGTGTGTGTGCCTGGTGCCCATGGAAGTCAGAAGGAGTTTTGGAACTGGAAATGAAGTTAAATATACTGAACCTGTCTCTGTAAGAGCAGTCAGTGCTCTAACCACTGAGTTATCTCTCTCTCCAGCCCCCAGATGACAATGACTTAAAATACAAAGTAAAATAACCAGAAGCATCACTAGGTCACTATGAAAGAAATTGTGAAGAGGTTGAAATGAAATTTGGAAGAAAGAAATTTTAGGCAGTTTAATCCCAAATTTCTTAATGAGTTCAAATTTTGCTAGTGAAGACCAAAGGGTGGGTGCTTTGGTCCTTCTTAGAAGAAGTAACAAAATACTCAAGGGAGCAAATATGGAGACAAAGTGTGGGACAGAAACTGAAGGAGGGGTCATCTCGAGACTGTTCCACCTGGTTATCCATCCCATGTGTAGTCACCAAAGGCAGACGCTGATGTGGATGTCAGGAGGTGCATGCTGACAGGAGCCTGACATAGCTGTCTCCTGAGAGGCTGTTCCGGATCCTGACATATACAGAGGCAGATGCTCACAGTTAACCGTTGAACTGACCATGGGGTTCCCAATGGAGGAGTTAGAGAGAAGACTGAAGGAGCTGAAGGGGTTTGCAGCCCCATAGGGAGAGCAATAATATCAATCAACCAGAGCTCCCAGGGTCTAAATCACCAGCCTGGAAGCACATAGGAAGGGACCTATGGCTCCAGCTGTATATGTATGGGAGGATGGCCTTGTTGGGCATAGGTGGGAGAAGAGGCCCTTTGTCCCGTGAAGGCTGGATGCCCCAGTGTGGGGGAATTTGAGGGTGGGGAGGTGGGAGTGGGTGGGTGAGGGCACATCCTCATAGAAGAAGGAGGGGGGGATGGGATGGGGGTTTCTGGGTGGGAAAGGAATGGGGAAAAGGGATAACATCTGAAATGTAAATAAAATATCCAAAAAAAGAGAGAAAAATTAGAGCTGAAGAAAAAAAATACAAAACTGTAATAAGTAATATAAGGAGTAGGTCTGTTTTAAAATGCCTAGAAAGTAAAAAATCATGGTAGACACATCTTAGGACAGGAGTGCTCAAAAGATCAGTCAAAGTTTGGCCTCCTGATGAGATATGTCCTTTGAAGAAGACAGGATTGCCATTGTAACTACTGAGGCAGCCATGGTGACCAGGTGACCAGGTGACCAGGCAGGAGTGGTGCTTGCTAGGCTGATGGCATCACTCTGCTTTCTCTTGCCTGCATCTCCAGGGTGCCCTTTGCCACCCCCGATAGTGAAGCATGGCTTAAACCTTCTCTTGAGTTGGTTTTCTTCAGTAATCAGCCCTGAGTACTCAGAAGGATGATAGAGAGGGCAATGACTTACCAGAAACGCCAGGCCAGACAGAATCCCAAATCTTCCCATGGAAGGCTTTACCTCTTCCTCTCTCCCTCCCAGTTTATTTTCTTCCTATTCTCATTCTCTCTCTCTCCCTCTTTCTCTCTCTCTCTCTTTCTATGTATCTATTTAAATGTATTTCTATCTATGTATCTATATATCTATATATCTATCATCTATAGGTTATCTATGTATGTATGAATCTACCATCTATGTATACATGTATGTATATCTATCTCTACCTATCTATGTATCTATCTATGTATCTACATATTTATGTATGTATCTATTATCTATCTATTTATCATTTATCTATCTATCTATCTATCTATCTATCTATCTATCTATCCATCCATCCATTTATTTTTGAGAAAGAGTCTCAAATAGCCAACGCTGGCCTAGAACTTGCTAGGAGGCCGAGGATGACACAATTCCTTGTTCTTCTGTCTCCATTTTTCTGAGTACTGGTATTACAGGTATGCACCACTGCACCCACCCAGAAGACTTTACATTTGGCTCAGTCAAAATCTAGCTCGTGTTTGATGGCAGCTAGAAAATGCCTGAAATCTGATCAGAAAATATACTTCAGAACCAACCCCCTACTGGTGATTTCCCATTTAATCTTTCACAAGACAATTCTAAAACTGAGGGTCTGCTTCATTCATGCAAGAGTATTGGGTAGATTTAGTTAGGTAAAGTATATCACAGCTCTTTGTTGAATACAAAGCACCAAGTCAAAAGAACTTGTCTTACATCTTCTTTTGAAGAATTGGACTCTCCCCTGTCAGCCTGTAGAGGGCGTATTTGAAGTCAATTATGCCTTGGTTTTCTATGGTGAAGGTGATGCTTTTCCTGGTACCGCAGATCAAAGCCCCAAAATTGATGATGGAGGAGGGGCTGATGGTGAATTTGGAGTACACTGCATTCACAGAAAACTTAATTGGGATGCTGGCAATGATCTCACCTTCTGGGAGAGTTGGCTCAATAATCTAGAAAGGGAAGGTTTGAGAAGATGTTAGTCAGGGGTACAGCCATAGAATTCCCATAAGTGCCTTCCTGTCTGCTTTCCTGACCGATACCCTCCTCTGGGATGTGTTTGACCTTTGACCCATAGGTCACGTGCAGCCAAGGAGAGTTACAAGTTTGCCCCAACAAAAAATTATAAGCTTACTTGAAACATGAAATAAAATAAAAACCTTTTAAATTTATCCTTTGAGAATGACCTATGAGCCTACAATTCAACCACATTCTCGTACTGCTTCCTCCTCCAAGTCTTCCCCAGCCTCCATGCTCACTTCCGCTTCTCAACTTCGTGTTCTCTCTTCATTTTAAAAAACCTTTTGGTTTCAATCAATGCTCTCCACATACCGGTGGTTGTGGGGCTATCCACTGGAGCACAGTCAACCTACTAGAAGTCAAACCTTAAAGAAAACTGACGCTCTCTCCCTTAGCATCCGTCAAGTGTCCGTGGGTCTTAGGTTAGGGGTGGAGCTTGCGTGCCCCTCCCTGCTCCCTATTGAATGCTGATTGGTTTGATTTTGTGCAGGTGGCCACAGCGAGGTCTCAGAGGAAGAAACACGGATGCCTAAGAAATAGTTTTCAAAGTGTTCAAGAACACTTTAGCTCCCAGAGAAATGCAAATCAAGAGTACTTTGAGATTGTGTCTTACCGTAGCCAGAATGGCTAAGACTGAGAAAACAAAACAAAACACAAGACAAAACCAAAACCCCCCAAAACAAGTGAAGGTAAACTCAGGTGGAAATGTGGGCAGGGAGGAGCCCTCGTTGATGTTGGTGGGAGTGAACACTGGTGTAGCCATTATGGAAATGAGTGTGGAGGTTCCTCAAAAAGCTGGAAATAGATGTAACATATGATCCAGGTGTACCATGCGAGGCCACGTGCTCAGTGGACTCTCTATCTACTACAGAGATACAAGCTCATCCACGTTCACTGCTGCTCTAGTCACAATAGCTGGGAAGCAGGACAGCCTATATGTCCTTCAACTGAAGAACGGATGAGGAAAACATGGTACGTAACACACAATGGTATTTTATGCTGCTACGAAGAAAAGTGAAAGCTGGAGAGAATCACACTGAGTAAGTCAGCGTAGGTCCAGAAGGACAAGCGCCACGTGTTCTTGCTATGGGTATTTTTTGCGATTTTATTTTGTAGCTATTCTAGGTTCTTGAGTATGAGCTTTATAGAGGACAGCGTCATGTTGCGTTGTCAAAGGTTGGACATCTATACACTGTCTTCTTGCCTGTTTCCATGATGGAGAGGAAGAGAGTCTTTATTCCTCTCTCCATCTCACTGAGTAAATAAGAACAGCGAAGGGCGCCAACACAGAGATTATTTTCCACTAGCCACATGTCGGCATGTAGCAACCATGTCTACTGCTTTTTGCTCCACTTGGCTTTTTACTTGATGGTGGAACACAGATCCCTCGGTTTTTACATGCCCCCAAACCTTGGGGGGGGCAATTTCTCCTTTTTCTATTTCTGGTGATTCTACACATCTCTGTCCTGACCTACCTGTGCTGGTTAGCTGGGACTGAACTCTGGTGTAGTGTCTTTGGTTGTCACCATAGCTATCCCCCCATGCCCCCATCCTTTTTCTCCATCAGGAGGCCATGGAGTCAGCAGTCCTCTGAGCTCTCTCACCTGGCAGCGCAGGATGGGCTGGTTCTCGATCTTCACTTCCTTTCTTGCTCGGAAGTACACCTGGACAGTTGTAGGTTTATCTATGGAGGCCAGCGTCCCCCTTTTGGGTTGGACTGTGATCATGGAACTTAAGTTTGTTGGCAAAACCCCTAAGGAGTCCACAGTGAAGCTACAAGCCAAGGATAAAGAGTCAATTTAAACAATTATTCAGGGAATCCATGAAGTCGGAGAGGACAGGTTGATCTGTTGAGGGTCTGCCTGACTCTGACCCTTTGTAATTAGCATACCAAGCAAAATTCACTATGCTTGTTTTTTCTGTGTATGTATGTGCATGCATGTGTGTGTGTGTGTGTGTGTATATATATATATATATATTTGTGTATAGCTATGGAGGATAAGAACCAGGGGTCATTCCTGAATTATTATCCATGTTTTTTTTTGTTTGTTTCTTTTTTGATATGGCCTTTTAAATTTACTACATAGCCAGGGAGTACTCTGAACCTCTGGTCCTTTTGCCTCTACCTGCTGAGGTATGTGCTACTACAAGATGCTGGAGATCAAACTCAAGGCTTTGTGTATGCCAGGCAAGCACTTTACCAACTGAGCTACATTCCTAGACTTTTATTTATTTGTTTGTTTTGTATGCGTATAGTATATGTGCATGCGGATATGCACAGATGTGTACTTGAGCACTTGAGGCTGGAGGTCAATGTTAGGTGTCTTCCTTGATTGCTCTCCACCTTTTCAGACGGGGTCTACTAGTGAAACCAGTGCTTACCAAGTAGGCTAGCCTGGCTGGCCAGAGAGCTTTGGAAATTCACCTCCTGTGCCAGGGTTATGGATGCTTGGATTTTTAATGTGGGTGCTGGGGACCTAAACTCAGGTCCTCACACCAACACAGCAGGCACTTTACTCATGGTACCTGCTTCTGGTTTCCTCCTAAAAAAATTTCCCAGACATCATCTTGTAGGGGGTGGTTCTGATGCTTTTATCAAGAATCTGCAGTGAATGCTGAAGGTCCTGTTCCCCAATTGGTTCTTGATCGATCAATAAAGATGCTAGAGGCTAAAGAGCTGGAAGGAATAGTTGGAACTTCCAGTCCCTACCTCCACACCCCACCCTAGGCAGGCTAGCAGATGCAAGGGAGAGGAAAGATTTTGACATGCTTCAGAGGAAGAAAGAGCTATCAGCCATGTGAGGTCTCTGGTGGAGTGGCCTCTGCTACTTCCCTGACTGGGCCTGGGTTAGAAGGCGGGAGATTAGAGACCACCTAAAGCTGAGGCCAGATTTAGGGTGCTGAGCTGGGAGTGAGAAGAAGGGTGCAGTAGCCAAGGAAGGCTTAGAAGAGCCTGGCCATTGAGCTAAAACATATAAAAATAAGTGTGTGTGTGTGTGTCTTTCATCTGCAGATCCAAGGAAACCTGGGTGGGGTAGTCTGCCTGGAGCTTAAAGTAGGGAAACAAAAAATATATGTTTCATCTTCTTCATGAATGAATGGGGATAGCACACATGCGTGCAGTATACATACATACATACATACATACATACACACACACACGCACACACACACACACGCACACACACACACACATGCACATGCACATGCATCCACCCCATGGGATTCAGGTTACCTGTATATGATCTCGTATTTTCCACGGTTCTTCAGTTGAAGGGGCTGCTTCACCTCCTCCATGACCCTCAAAGTCCCAAAGTCTAGACCTCCTTCAGTTCCTGCAGAGGCCAGGCCTTGGGGTAGAGGTGAGTGGGTAAGGGCACCACAATAGGCTCTCTGAAGTTTACAAGGCAAATGATTCCACAGTGATGACTTTAGGGAACTTCTTTTCTGGAAACTCTTTTGACTAAGCCTCAGCAGATGAACAAAAGCCTCCCAGTACATCCCAACATCTCCCTCGAGATTCCACCCCAAGGGACTACTGCTTCATGACTATTGTTAGCTAAATTCTCTAGGATACTTATTTATTTATATTTGTTATTATTATTTATGATCATTATTACTATTTCTAATTATGTGTATATACGTGTGTCTTCACATGTGTGTATATACAAGTGAGTGCAGAGGCCAGAGGAGTTGCGATCTCTCTGGAGCTAGAATGACAGGCAGTTGTAAGAGACCCAATGTGGGTAATGAGAATCAAACAAACTTGGATCCTCTGGACAACCAATGTGTGTGTGTGTGCATGTGTGTGTGTGTTTTGTTTAGGGTTTCTCTGTGTATTCCAGACTGGCCTGGAACTCATTTTATAGATCAGGCTGGCCTCCAACTCACAGAGCTCTGTCTGCCTGTGCCTCCTGAGTGCTGGTATTAAAGGCATGCTCCATCACTGCCTGGCCGTGGGTGGGTTCTTAACTGAGGAACTATCTCTCCAGCTCTCTAAGATCTTTTAAAAATGTTCTATTTATTTATATTTCACACGTGTCTGCACACTATATACAGAGGTCATAAATGGCACTGGATCCCCTGGGATTGGAGTTACAGAGAGCTGTGAGCTTCCAGGTGGGAGCTGGGAACCGAACCCTGGGTCCTCTAAAAGGTTAGTAAGTATCATTAAGTAATTGCTAAGCCAGATTAGTAAAACTTTCATAGATACAATCTTAGTTGTCACTAAGATACAGCTATTCTGTGGTAACCAAAACCACAACAACATTATTCTACTTTCAGTAGTTACTTTTCATCACAATGCTGAAGTTAGGATCTCTGTATGTTAAGACAATGACATCTGACTAACATGTAGCTCTAATAATCTTGCTGAGGAAGAGACCTATCAGGGAGAGGAGGTGTCCTGGAGAATCAGATGCTCAGGGGAGATACCCAATTCACGTGTTATGGCAGTGCGCTAGATAGAATGTCTCAGGACACACATTCTAATCGCTGGGACCTGTGAATACATGACAAAAGGGACTTAAGGTATTGGATGGACTTGAGACCGGTGATCAGCTGCCATTAAATATGAAGGCTGACATGGATTATCCTGGAGGCTCAGTGTAACCACAAGGGTCCTTATAAAAGTAGAAGGGGACAGCAGAAGTGGGGGAATTAGGGAGAGGGCAGCATGAGAAGGACCTGGTGGGATGTTGCTGGTTTCCAAGATTTAGGAATGGGACACAGACCAAGAAATGTGAATGGTCTCTTAGAGGGTGCAAAGCATTTTGGGAAGAATGCTTCTGTGTCAGCATTTTGATATCCATCTAGTGAGATCCAGTAAAATCTGCTTTGAACTGAGCTCAGGGCTATAATATATTTTAGAGTTTTTCTTTTTCTCTAATTCCCTCCTTCCCTCTCTCCCTTCCTCTCCTTCCCTCCCTTCTTCTCTTCCCCCTCTTATCCTTCCCTCCCTCCCTCTCTCCCTCCCTCCCTCTCTCTCTCTCTCTTTCATAGTGTTTTTCATTAGGTAACCCAGGCTGACTTTGAACTCAAGAACCTCAGCCTCTTTACTGCAGTTAGTATTAGGTCAGGAGGTTTGTGGCAATCTGTTACAATAGTGATAGAAAACTAACGTAGGCAGGAAGAGAAGTCTTGACTGTCAGTTTCTCAGAGAGGAACCCTGAAGGTTCTATCCTGATGACAACCTCTTGTTATTCTCCACTGAGGAGACTATAGTTTGTGGTGATGCTACCCACATCACTCTGGGCTTGCATTCCTATTACCGACGTTGTTCCCTCCCTATCAACCCCACTACCATATGAACCACACACTAGGGTCTCTCCACGCAGAGCTCTAGCACACAAACAGACACAATATAAAAACAACCCCTTTCCAGGGTTCAACACACCTTTGGGGAAGGTGATGTCCAAAGCGATATCATACGATTCTGCAAAGATCAAGATGTTTTCGATCTGAACGACACCAACAAGATTCTCTGCATCTAAAACCTGCCGGGGAAAGTTCTTCAGTGAAAGCCCAGAGCCACAAAGTGTCTGGAGTCTGAAATATGGAACACGCAGTGGGGTCTGGGCAGCAGAGACGGCAGGGGAATGTTTCAGAGAACTTTACTGTCACATTTTTCTAATCTTACATTTTCAGTCACCTTACTCCACTTGTTTTATAAATCGGAACTACTCTATTCTTCGTGACTTGAGTTGAAGAAAAAGGGCCAAGTTTTTTTTCCTTCTTTTTTAAAGTAAAATACATGTTTGGTGTTTCTATTTTGGAAGGTCACAGTCTTTTTGATGAGTGATCATGATGACCTTCAGGCCTGTGGTCTCTAGTAGTTCACTGAGCCTGTTGCTCTCCTTTGTTGGAGATCCTTCTTCACTGCTCTAAGCAGTCACTGAGCTGGTGCCGGCTGGCAGACCAGGCTAATTCTATCTAGTTCACTGTTGACTTTGGATGCAAACCAGGAGCTGATTAAAGGGTCCATTAGTCAGGGCAAGAGCTTCAGGGACAATCCAGCACTCTGGCATCTAGGTGGAGACCTCTGCCGTCTTGTTGAAGACTCCAGTTGAAAAACAAAGCCACCTGTTTGCATTCCATGTGCTTTGAGGTGCCAGGGGAAATTTATAGCTGTCACTAAACTTAAGATTTAAAAAAAAATGTGTATGCAGGTTGGTCTGTGCAGGTAAACGCAGATGCTTAGGGAGGCCAGAGAGGGCGCCAGGTCCCCGGAGCTGGAGTTACAGGCTATTATGAACCATCCAACATCGGAGTTAGGGATTGAACTCTGTCCTGCAGTAAGAGCAGTAAGTGTTCCTAACCACCAAGTATCTCCTCAGCCCCCAAATCAAGTATTAATTCAGAATTTCTATCTCTTCTTTTAACAGGCATTTGCCAATATAGTTGGATCTGTGGATGGAGAACTGGTGAGTACAGAGGACTTCTTGTGTCCTTCTGAACTAGTACAGGGGAAAACAGGAGGAAAGCCTTTGGAGGGTAAAGACAAAGGTAGGAAAGATGCAGGTACGAGCCAAGGTACACACTCAGGCCCCAGAAACTAGGAACAATGAGGAAAGATTCTTTCCTGGAGCCTTCAGAGAGAGTACAGTCATATTATCTTGATTTTAGCTTTCTAGTCTGAAGAATTATGAGAGAGGAAAGGTCTGTTGTTTTGAGTCACCCAGTCTGAGGTGATTTTGTCATAGTGGCCTAAGAAACTAGTACAGATGGTGACTGAATCTGGAAAGATCCTGCTTAACAGAGTTCCCATACCAAATGGAAAATGGCTCCATTAGTAAATGAAATGACAGGAGAAAGGAGTGGGGCTCTCAAGAAGACACTGAATGGTTACTGTCTTAGGAAGAAATCAGCTTGGAGTCATGCTGCTTTTGTTGAGCTTAAGTTTTGTGTATAGTAAGATATCATGAGCTGGAGTAGGAAACCGATCAGATGAGGGATTTAATAAAGAGATGTCTGTCTGTCTGTCTGTCTGTCTGTCTGTCTGTCTGTCTGTCTCCCTCTTTGTGTGTGTGTGTGTGGCCTGTGCATGCGTATTTTGATAATCAAGTCTACGGGGATGGTACATCTCACCTCAATCCGAATGGCCTTCTTGATGTTGACAGGTTTGGAGGGCTGGAACTGCACTTGCAGCCCAAACTCTCCCTTGGGTAGCATGGTGCCCTGCATCATGGACACAGAGAAGTCCTCCCCTAGGTGTTCCAAGCTGGAGATCCGCCAGGCCACGGGAAGAGACGTGACATTTCGGAGAACTACTGTCTTGGTTTCTTTTCTGCAGAAACCAAAAGAAATTTGATCAAGTTCAAAGAATTTTTCAAATGTCGGTTTTCTCTGTTTTTTTTTCACCAAAATTTATATAATATGGAGAAGAATCAATAACTTTTATCTTAGTTTTTCGAGACTGACTCTCTTCATGTAGCCTGCGACTTGCTATGCAGACCAGGCTGGCCTTGAACTCACAGAGATCAGCCTGCCTCTGCCTCTGCAGGGTGTGTACTATTACTCTTGACCCCATAATTTCTCTTTTGAGGGTGGTCATGTAAAAACTTCCCTTCACTCTCCTTCTCTTGTCTTATTTAAGCTGCTTAGCTTGTGAGTGGTGGGCAGATTTCCATGACTTTAATTTTTTTCCCCATGACCAAGCTATGTCAAATGATCTCTAACACCATTTAAGAAAAGTTGTAAGAATTCCTCTTTATCCACGTGACTTCGCCTTCCTTGTAGCCTCATAATCTCTCCTCCTCATCATTTCCCAAAGCCATTCAAAATGAAATTGCAGATAATTACACACTGCTAACGTTTGAATCACTCGGTACACGTTTTCTAAGAATGAGAACGCCCACCACACCAGGGTTTTCGCTGTCATAAAGACTAATATTTGGTCTGCAGCCCATGTTCAACCTCTGCCTTTGTTCTATTGCTACTCAGCCTCTCTTTACTTTTCCAGGTCAAGGAACCAACCCACAACTGTGTATTGCATGTAATTGTCATGCCTTTTTGGAAAAAGTTTTCTACCCTTCTTTAGGTTTCTTGGCTTTGATGTTTTGAAGAGCTAGTTAATCTGTTAGCTCTTGCTTAGGTTGGATGGTCTGATGCTTTTTCATGTTTAGATCTTTTGGAGTTGCAAGCTGTGTCCTTTTCACTGTATTGGCTCAGGAGATCCCTTTAATGCTATTTGTTCTGATTTTGGTGATGCTATGTTCGATGACTCAGTTAAGGTAAGGCTCACCTGGTCTTTCCATCTGGTATGTGCATTCTTTTTTCCATTTTAGTTAATACTTTCTCAGGAGATGCTTTGAGAATATACCCTGTTTTTTATTTTATTTTATTTTATTTTATTTTATTTTATTTTATTTTATTTTATTTTATTTTATTTTATTTTATGGATATTGGGCCTTACATTTTCCCAGACTGTTGTCGAGTTCACTATTTAGTTGAGGATGACCTTGGATTCCTAATCCTTCCATCTCTACCTGTCAATTACACAGGGCTACAGGCTGTATCACCACAACTGGATCAATGCCCTATTCTTAGTCAAACAGTCAGATGCTAGTTTTAGCACCCCAAAATCATCTCCTAACACCATCAATCTTTCTATGTTTAGTTGGTATTCTGTTATCAAAAACAGAATTTCCTTCTTTCATGTGTTTATTTATACACTTATGCCAGTGGAATTGAATTACGTTTCTTATTAAATACATCGGTGGTTCCCAGCCTGGGAATCGTGACCCCCCTTTGTGGTAGAACAATCCTTTCACAAGGGTCACCTAAGACCATTGGGAAACACAGATACTTATGATTCATAACAGTAGCAAAATTAGTTATGAAGTAGTGATGAAAATAATTTTATGGTTGGGGGTTACCATAACATGAAGAATTGTATTTAAGGGTCACAGCATAAGGAAGGTTGAGAACTACTATTATAGATAATTACATTATGTTTATTGCATTATTTTACTTTGACTTTCAAACTGTCTCAGATTTGGCTGGTGGGAGGTTGGTTCTTATGTCCTTTTACACGCACACAGTTCTTTAAGTTCTTTATGGTACAACAGAAAAAAGTTTCCAGCTCATCTGGAGCGTTCTTCCTCTAGTTTGCCTGCTTCAGGAACAGAGAAATCCTTTCACCAAGGATCCTTGCCATTTATCAGAAAATGATATTTAGACACCAAGATCTGGAATGGAGTCCTCACTGCTCCTGACATACCACTGTTTCCAAGCCCTCCTAGACGGCAAAGCTAGGATGAGTGCATGTTTCTATACTTGTCTGTATACGAACCCAGGAGTTTATACTGATACCTCCAATTTCCTAACTCCAATTTAACACACTTACAAAGGTGTGTGTGTGTATGTGTGTGTGTATGGGTGCATATATGCAATAGTACACTTGTCATGGTCATAGGACAACTTGTGAGAGTCTGTTCTCTTTTTCTACCACGTGGGACCTTGGGATCAAACTCAGATTGTTAGGTTTGGTGATTAGTGCCTTTATGTGTTGAGCTATCTTACAGGCCCACTGGATACCCTGTAAATCTCCTTTTCTCCAACAGTGAGAAATCTGTCTGGAATTTAATTATGCCACGGTTAGAAAATATACTCTAGATGAGTTCATTAGGTCGAAATCTAATGAGCTTTGCTTTATGATTTAGTGCTGTATGTTTTTATGTGTGCTTGAAATAAAGATGCATTTTATAGTTGATAGGCACCCAGACAACTTTAAAGAGGATACGTGAAGGAAGATTTAATCTGAAGAGAAGGATAAACACACTCAAGACATCACATGAAATAAATGAACAACGCCAGGCCAGCCAATCAAAAGAAGTCTTGAGGAAACAACAAAGTTAAAAAACCCAGGAAGGAATACACATAGCTCAACAATAACTCTTAATAGTAATTGTTCAATTTCCCAATAAAGACATGCAGATTAGATTAGAAAATGGTATCCATCTCTTTGCTGTTTCCAAGAAACACACCTCATAATGAAAAAGAGACAGTACCTGAGAATTAAAAATAGAAAAAAGGTATTTCAAGGAAATGAAACAGAAACATGCAGGCATCGCTATTCTAATATCTGACAAAAGAGACTTTAAATCAAAGAAAAGGAAGATAACTTTATGCTCATTAAAGGTAAAAATCCACCAAGAGGGTATTACAATTTCAAATATAATATCCATCAAACACAAGCACACCCAACTTCACAAAAGACCTAAAGCCACAGATTATTTGAGCAACATAAAGACTCCCTGTGTTTGTCTTGTTATTTTTTTGTCTTACTGATTTTCTTATTCTTTGTTTCAATTTTTGTTTTTCTTTACTGTTTTTTTTTTAAGAGAGGCAGAAGGAGAAAGAAACAGAAAGCATGAAGTTGGGTGGGTAGAGAGGTGGGGATGGTCTGGGAGGAGCTGGGGGAGGGAAAAGAATATGATCAAAATATTTTGTATGAATTAAAAAAATAAAAATAAATATACAGATTAGCTCTAACATGGTGACCGTGGGTGACTTCAATACCCACCTTCACTGATAGGTTGTCTGAACCCAAAATAACAGAAACATCAGGGCTAAATGACATCATAAATCAAAAAGACCTAATGAACATCTACAGAACAAACATTCTACCAAATCACTAAAAATTACACATCTTCTCAGATGCCCATGGAGCTGCCTCCAAAACTGACCACACATTAGGATGCAAAGCAAGTCTCAACGAATAAAGGACAGCTGAGATAACATTCTGCATTGTAACTGGATATAATGGAATTAAGCTGTGGAAACTTCCACTGCTGTGGAATCAATAACAGTGGGAACTACAGAAAGTATACAAACTCATGGAAGCTAAACAACATACCACCAAATGACAATTGGGTCAAGAAAGAAATCAAGAAGAAAACTATTATATCCTAGAATTGACTGAAAATAAAATCGTATCAATGAAGGTGGTCTCCAGAGAAAAGTTTGCAGCACTAAGTGTCTGCCTAAGAAGTCAAGAGGTCTTAAATGAATAGTGAACAACAACCAACACAGTAGCTGGGAAGAGAAGGTAAAAGTCAGAGACAGACTCTCCCTTCATTTCCATATCCTCGCCCACAATTCCTGCGGAGGCCTAGTGCTTTACTAGAAGCCACACTGTACCTAGATCCCTAGGTGGGAGCCTGCCCACAGCCCATCAATGCTCCTTAGAGCCTGTCCAAATCCCCCAGAGGTCCCCCTTCTCCTCACTTCCATATCCTATTCTACAACTCTGGCAGAAGCCCACTGCTCTACCAAAGGCTACACTGGTACCTGGAACCTCAGGTAAGACCCTGCCAACAGCCCATCAATGTTCCTTAGAGTCTGTCCGATTTCCCCAATAGCACAACCTCCCCTTGGCTCCAGAGCCTGGCCCACATCTCCAGCGGGAGCCCACTGCTCTACTGAAGGATATACTGGTACCAAGAACCCCAGAAACCATGCCCACTACTAGAACCCCAGAGTCCCAGAAGCAACACTAGTACCCAAAGCCCCAGAGATCATGCAGGACACCAAAACCCTAGCAGAGATATCCTACTAAACCTGAGAACTCACTGGTCACTAGAACCATAGGCCACTCTGTCCAGAAGACCAGAAAGGAAATGGGAACCAAAGGGGAAAACCATTCACACAACAAAGATAAACTCGGAAATTGGCACTTAAGTCTGTAATTACCCCAAATCCAGATTCTTAGAGGCCAGTGTAAGAACATGATCAATGTAGTACCACCAGAGCCCAGCTATCCTATTACAGCAAGCCCTGGATAGGCCAACACAGATGAAGCATAAGAAAACCCAGTTTTATGAAGATGATAGAGACCCTTAAAGAGGGAATGAATAAATCACTTAAAGAAGTCCAGGAATATACAAACAATGGGAGGAATCAAATCAATCCCTTAAGGAAAGCCGAGAGAGCCAAGAAAAACCAAACACACCAGTGAAGGAAATGAATCAAACTGTTCAAGACCTGAAAATGGAAATAGAAGCAATAAGGAAAATTCAAACTGAGGGACTCCTAGAGATGGAAAACCTAAGTAAGTGAACAGGACCTATAGACACAGGCATCACCAATAGAATACAGAGACAGAAGACTCTCAGGCATTGAAGATATGATAGAAGAAATTAATACATAAGTTAAAGAAAATGTTAAATCTAAAAAGTTCCTGATACTAAACATCCAGGAAATCTGGAACACTATGAAAAGACCAAATCTAACAATAACAGAAACAGAAGAAGGAGAAGAATTTCTAGATCAAAAACCCAGAAG